AAACACTCTTTTGCATGTGGTTGTAAAGTAATTGTGTGTGCTGCAGAAAAATATATGAAACATAACAAAAATATATAAACTGGTAAAAATGAAACACGGCGCATTTTCACAATTTCGAGCAAGAAAAACTATAAAAAAAGTGGAAGGTGCACCAAAGATGGATGGTGATATCATGTGCCTAATGTCACGTGAGCAATATCGAGGTACTTTGGAATTTTGGGTTAAAGGGTTAGTTAGTTAACAATGGGGTCATAATAAATAAAATTAAAGTTTTACAATTATGTAATAAAATCCGGTATAAATGATAGCGAATCTTACGTCATATATGAATTCATGTTTTCTTCCCAAAGATATTAGATCCCGCAGACCGAGCAATTGAACAACATTCACGACAGTCAACTGGCACATATAGTTTAGCGGCTCAACTTGATGGCCGATACACTTATTGTTTCAGTAATCAATTCTCGACTGTCACCGAGAAAATTGTTAGTTTTAATGTGCATGGGGTTGTTTATGTACAGGGTGATGATGGATGTGAGTGTCAAGAACTGTGAATCAATTTTAGAATGAATGGTTTTATGTATTATTCTGATTAAAATTATATTTATTCATTTTTTGGGTAGCTAATTCACATACAGACCCGTTAGAAAAAGAAATCCGCGAATTAGCGGACGGATTAGCCGCTATTCGTGATGAACAAGAGTATATTGTGATTAGAGAACGTGTGCATCGTGACAGTACGTATAAAACTTGATTTTAATAATTATTTATTCTAAAAAACATTCTAATTGTCTTTTGAAAAAATAGCCGCTGAAAGTACAAATGATCGTGTGAAGTGGTGGTCACTATTTCAATTTATTGTTTTGGTTTCCGTTTGTCTGTGGCAAGTGTTTTATCTGAAACGATTTTTCGAAGTGAAGCGTGTTGTATAATAATTAAATGAATAAATATAATTAATTATATATACAGCAAAAACTAAAATGAAAAAGAATATCCCAGTGATTTAGAATTTCTAATGTTATAGCAACTCCCTGATATTCTAGCATTTCTTGTTGATATTTTTAATTATTCAATACTTTATAAAAATAATAGGATAATTATTAAATTAACAAAAATCCAAGATTCTAATTATTTTTGATTGAATATATTAGATTTATCAAAAATCCAAAATAATTATATATTTTTAAATAATAAAAATTTTTTATTTTTAATTAATAAATTTAATAAATTTAATAAATTATTTAAATTTTTAATAAACTTTCATCTTTTATTAATAATATAAAATATATATTATATATCTTTTAATAATAAATTAAATAAAAATAAAATTTATTTATTAATTTTTTTTTATTTGTTTTTATTATATAATATTATATAATAATAAGAATATTTATCAGATTTAAATAATAATAGTATAGTAATTTTATAATTATAATTATAAAATTAGATAATTAATTTTATTTATAAAATATAATAAATTGAAATTTTCTTTATATTAAACTTTATAATTTTATTTTGATATAAAAATAAAAATTATTTCTTAATAAAATTATAAAGTTTAATATAAAGAAAAATTTTTATTTTTATAATATTTTATTAGTAAAATTGATTTTTTAATTTTATAATTATAAGAATCACTATATAAGAAAAAGTAAATTTTTTTTTAAAAATAATTATATTATAAAATAAATAATAAAAACTTAAAAATTAATATATAATCAGATTTTTTTATAATCATATCTCTTTATAATTATCTTTTTTATAGTTATCTTTTTTTAATTTTTCAGTTAAAAACTTGATAGAAATAACTTAATTTATGTTTTATAGAATAATATATTTATCTATTTTTATCTGATATTTAAAATTATATATTTTAATAATAATTATATGATTTATAATTCTTGAATATGTCAAAAAAAATTAAAATTTATATAAAATACAGATTTTTTTATTTAAAGACTTCAAAGTATAATAAAAATTATATTTTAAAAGTTCTTTTAATTTATATAAAAAATTTTATAATATATATATTTATTATATTATAATTTCTATAATTAATTTATTTTTTAAAGTATAAATTATATTTTTATAAGTATAAAAGAAATATAAAAGTATAAAAAATTTTAATAAAGAAATTATAAAACAAAAAATAAATAATTACTTATAAATATCTCTTTAATTTTTTTAATATATATTTTTTATCTATATTTTATATATTAATTATATTTATATTATTAAAAATTCTTAATTTTTCTATATTATCTATCTAAAAATTATATTTCAATACTATAATTCAAAAGAATTCTTTAATATAATAAAGAATTGCTCTTATTAAATTGAATACATATAATTTTAAAAAAAATATAACTTTTTATCTGAAATTAATTAAATAAAAAAAAATTCAAAAAAAATAAAATTAAAATTAAAATAATATATTATTATATAATATAAAAGTTAAGTAAAGAAAAACAGAATTTTTAAAAAAAATTATTAAATATAATTTATCTAAATAATTATCTTTTCTTCTTTAAAATTCTAATTCTTTTAAATAATTATATTTATATATTAAATTTGATAATACTTTTAAAAAAAGATAAAAAAATTATTAAAATATATATTATCTCTTATTTAAAGAAATAAAAGAAAGATATAAAATTTATATATTATGTATAATATATAAAAAAACTAGAAATTTTAATTTTCTTTATAAATATTTATTTAAATAATATAAAAATTTAAATATATATATTTAAGA